TTTTTTTTTTTTTGGTATATATTTAATAAATTTAAAATTTCTAAAAATAGGAAGAACAATAAAATATTTTGAATTAATATTATTTTTCACCTTTTAATCATTAACAATGATCTAGGTTACAATAATAGTTTCATTAAAATTATGTCTTTTAATATTAATAAATTGAATATTTTATGGTTTATGATTTATACAAATTATTTTAGAATTAATCTTGTTTTTTCTTTATAAATGATTTTTAAAAAAGATAAAAAAAAGCATACATATTGTTATTCATAATTTCTATAGGTATAGACGCTATGAAATTTGTAATATATTAAACATGTAATTAATCTTTTCGATACAAAAATATATAATTAAAATTTTATATACGTAAATAATATCATATTAAAGAATATTAGCTAATTCGAAAATAAACAAATATATAAAATGACATTAATAGTTTAAACTGAAAAAATGTTTTTAAATTATCGAAACCTTATTATCATCATTAATTTATTTAAAATCCTTAACATTGAATTACGTGTTATATATAAAAAACAGTATGCACATCCATATTAAGATGTATATTAACATAAAATATCATTGTAAATTTTTTCATTTATTCTTACGCTACATAAATACTATAAAACTATCATTTCACAAATTAATATATTTCTTAAAAGCGTTTTATAAAATGATCTATATCATTTAGTTATGTTTTACAACAATAGGTTAATCCATGCAGTGTTCCTTAAGTTTGAATCAATAACAGTTAAACTTTAAATCGTTGTTATTTAATTATTCATTTATTAATGCATAAAATATTTTTTATTATACATATAATAAATCCTAGAAATATCTTTATGGTGCACCTTATATTTACTACATCTTATTATAGAAAAAATTGTGTATGCTTTATGTGCATATTCCAAAATAGACAATGTATGATCTTTTCATGATCATTCAAATTTATCAAAAATTTACATAGCATACTTCGCTATTTAAATCCCGCTCATATTAATCACTCTTAATTTCTTAAATAAATTTATAAATACTTTCTGAGTTAAATTTGTAATAAATGGATTCGCATTTTCATGAATTTTTTATTAAGAATTGTTATTTATTCACAAATTTGTTTATTTTGTAATGTAAGGAAAGCTTTCCTTATAATAACAAAATTTTTATTATGAACTCAGATATATTTCCTTCTTATAAAATTTGTATTCATCTAATTATAGCATATTTGGAAATAATTTTTATTATAATCGTTACTATTGTTAATTTGCTAATGGTTAGGAAGGACTTGGATTAAAATTAATATAGCATGATATAAACTCAATATTGTGTAACAGTATGAAATACATATATAGGGCACTTATTTCTCTCTACGTTATATAACAAAACATACTATTTAATGCTTTTACACAAATATTAGCAAAAATATTTCTTTATTTCTAAAATTAATACTCAAAGAAAATGAAGTAAAAGAAAAATTATACATGAACACTGCACATGATTAAGCGGTTTATATAAATATGTAGTAGGAATATGTTATTTATAGAATGTAATAAGGTTCCATATATCTCCCACTTACCTAATATTCATTCGAAATCATGGATAAAAATTCTATAAATTGGGAACTTGTGAAGGATATAAAACATTACAGTAAATGAACCAAAAAAAACTTAAGGATATATATGATATAAATACAAAATAAAAAAATAAAGAGAATGTTGAAGAATTAGTCGATTCAAAAAAATGTAAATGAGTCAAAAAATGTTCTGCTTTGTGTATACAATACAAGGATATATGTAAACATATCAATGACATAGATTTTTGTATTGCAGTAAAAATGGTTAAAGATCGATATAGTATATGACTGAAAAATATAACATGTGTCGATGATACACAGCAATTGTTACCTCCATCATAACCATTTAGACCAACCATTCCTGTCATAACTACAATTGTTGTAATAATAGTAATATCCATTTTTATAATTATTTTGTATAAGGTTAATTATGATGTGATTTATATATGTTTGTGCTATAAAATTATTAATCCTAATAATTATAATAAAATATATAATTTATCAAAATAAA